CTCATCCTCTTGTATTGGATACTTGTGCGCTCATCGACCGTTGCCTATCCAGTCACATTTATTCAAATTATGCGCTTCAGATGAGTAGGCTGACTATCTGGAAGCACCTGGACGATGAGTGTGAAATGTAAATAGTATCGAGGACAAAAATACAATTGAAGAACACTGCCGGTATTTAGGCATAAAATGTCTTATTACGGTTGAACAATCAGACATGCTTGATTGCAACATGTATGTGGTATAAGCGCTGTGTGTAGTACGTTAATATGCGCTGGTGCTGACTCATTCTAAGTTATGTCATGCTCGCAATACATAGAGCGGGAGGAGATTGCATGACTTCACTGAGTTGAAATGTTTAATGTATGCTTTAGAATGTGCGTTAACTGAAAAATAACCAAATCCCATGTGAATTAGTTGGCGCAATTGCGGATATCTAAAGCATTTAAAAAAAATAATAGTCCTCAATATACTCGACCTAAAATGTGTTCGTCAGCCAAAATCGTAATCTGTTAGAAATTATGGTAGCTCATCATTTATCATTAGGCACGTATCTCACGCCATTAAATTTAAATGTGTTTAATAGTGATGGATTGCGATGCGGAACACTCTAACTAACTATATACTAAACAAGTATCGCGGAAACAGCATGAATGATAAGCGCCAGCAAATGTATCAAATCACTGTCGTAGTAATACCAGTTAAAATTCCTTAGGGTTGTGTATAAATGTGCTACATATAACGACAACAGAAACATGATAACATTGCATCCTACCAAGCAACGCAGTCAATACGAGGAAAAGATGTGTAATATTAGTGCAATTTGTTCAGATATATTTACAATCTCTTGTTGATTTTGCTCATACCCATTAGCTACTCTAACACCGGATCACGCAAGATTTTGAAGACAACTCGTCAATCAAGTTATAACCCGCGCGTAATTGCATGCTTAAAAAAGACATGAGCGTTATGCTGGAATTGATATGCAGTGGCATAAAATTTCAAACGCTAAAGTCATTAGCGCAAGTTTTATCTTCAGTCAGTTGTGGTGGCTGCATAATCTGCCATCCCATCGGCATGATATTGCGTCCGTCAGCACAAATTTAGCCAATATGAACCGGAATACTGGATGTTAAATTAGGGTGGTTTATTTATTCCGCGGATTTTTAATTGTCAAAAATCCGAATTTTAATGCGGCAATCTCTTAGAGACCTGATATTTTGCTTACTAAATAATAATATATAATTAGCTGCTGTTGAATTCGCCCGGCTTATTAAACACTTTGGTATCTAGTCTATAATCTAACTTATAATTTGATTTAGGAGACAATTTATCAAGCGATTGTATTTAAATGCTAACATTCAATTATAATTTGACTAAAATATAATTCATCATTCTGGCCGCAGATCCTTTTTGTTCAGACCTGGCACTAAAGCCTTAATGGTTACTGAAAACACTGACAGGTTATGACACATGCTTCCGAAATTACTAATTTAAGGGATGAAAATTACATTGCCTGGTTTTGTCTGTAAAGGGGATTACACTTTTACACCAGTGTAGATAATGTATGTATGTCGGCTAGGAGGGAAATCAAAGTGAGAGCAAAGCAGGTAGATAAAAAAGCAATGAAACCAGTAAGAAATGAAATAAAATCAGCTAGTCCTAATTTATTACCGAACATTTATGCGCAATATTAGCTATTGCAGCCTTGCGAAATGTTTAGGGTGGCAATTAATAATTCTGATTTTTTGTAATGTTAAGCAAGTCATGCGAAAATATTGGTTCAGTCAAAATAATCAGAACACTTTAAGACATTGTGACTCCAAGATATCAGGGATTGGTGACGTGTGTAGATCGGCATCAAGCGGATTGGTTACTGACTCTTTTTCATTTTCCGCAAGTCAGAGGTATCACAAAATCGTAAATGAATGTATGATTTTTGATAGCAGCAAATGATTGTGTCCGACCTTAATTGTACAAAATTTCATAGCAAAACATTGATTATGGTGTGAGTTTAATATTTTTTCTCTTAATTTCCAGAAGCACTTCTAGGGTATGCTCATATTTTTATTTCATGCTGAGAAATTTCACTTAAGCAGTGTAATGTATCTACAGTTTTTGCTATTAAGTCAACATGCACCATTGGATTCTTCCGTAGAACAGAAGAGGCTTGTCACTCGTAACGCACAATTAAACATGGTTGTGAAATATTTCGATCGTATAATTACTTTAACTAATTGTATATCTACAATATTGTCAATAAATCAGTTCTGAAACTGATCAAAGTGTCATGTGGCACAGCCAGTGTTGCAGGTTTGGCAACAATGGATGCGGAGGCATACATTGTAAGGATGTCCAATTTAAAAGTCAATAAAGGAAAATTGGTTACATTTGATCCATGCACTTGTGCAAATGACATTCAGAGGCAAATCATATTTGGTCGATAAATAAACCCAATTCCTATACAAAGTCATATTTTTGTATTCCAAAGGTATATACTCATGGATCAAATTTCGCAAACTATTTGATTAAAGTTTATGCACTACCTTTGTTAGGTGACCGATACATTCACTGATTTGGAGCAAGCTTTTGCAATAAGTGTAAGAAGGGTAACAATCCAGTTTCTTGCTTCAGCTTTGACATACAGTTGTTAATAGATCACTGTAACGCAGTTTCATTATCATACATTTAATCTATTCTCAACACAGGTGTATCATGGCCTACAGATTTGGGAGTATGTACTTGCAATCTGCAGAATGGAAGCAGTAATAATTTTCCTTTCAGGTCAGAGCAGCATAAATTGAGCAATTGACGGCGAACGATAGAATGGGATCTGCGGTTGTTTACCAGACTCATGGAAACGAAACACTGCACCATTAAGCACCGATCTAAAAGGACGAAATAACAGCACAGCATGTTTTAACAAAGCTAATAGCAGTGGACCAATTGTAACATGTGAACACATGACTAAACCCGACGGCAAGAGATAAGACGCCACCACCTAAACTCGTCTACTTAAGCAGACTGGTAAAAGCTGAGATACATTATATTTTGAAGGAGTGATAACTTGTTTCTTGCTAGAAAGGATTGCGGAGATATTTCACCTTAGCTATTGGTCTTGTGTAACTGAATTCATGAAAAATTAGTTATATATCGTATCAATAACGTGCTGCTTATCACCCGTAAACAGCGACGTGATCAACAAAACAATACTAAGAAGTTCACGATTAATTTCTTGTCACTGAACATTGAAAATGTTAATATACATATTTATAAATTTATCACATCTTCGCCTCTGTTGTTTAGCGCGTAGTTGTAAGAGATTTAATACTTTGAGGCCATATTTTGTCTGTGGCGTCGCAGCTCCGTATAGCTGTGTTAAACCCTCTAAGCCGCTTGTGATGATGGTGAGGATTATCGACCAAATATGTACTTATTTATCAAGCCATTTTCATACTTCATCAAGCGAATGTCCAATGTACGCTTCAGGTGTCTGGTGTCATTGCAGGTGTACCACAATAGATCACGAGCCCGGAACACCGAAAATAATTTTTGCGTACAAATGAGTGGCTTATTTTTCCATAAGGAATGCTAGGTATTGAAACTCTTCTAAGTACAAATATCCTAAGATTGCCACAAGTAATCCTATATATATTCATAGGCATGTTTGAAGATACTTTGAATTAATACACATCTTTGTAGCAGAAGCCGTGTAGGATAAGAGCAAACTAGAAAAAGGAGAAGTATTGTGAAGTAGGTTATGTGCGTACTTTTATATTTTTTTGAGCAAATTAAGATTAACTGCCAGCGCATGTACCTGCGATATTAAATATGATTTCATTTTGAGGCTGCAATCAGTCCGTAGTTCTCATTTGTCCGACGGGATTCCAGATCCTAAATGTAGCTGCAATTAAACCTAGTAGTCTACATTACGCCTTTATAAAAAACAACGCTCTCAGTGGTAAATGTTTTTCCGAAGAAGTAGTTAATGAAGAACGCAAGGAAGTTGGCTGTTCAGACAAATTTTATTACCTGTACGCATGTCTGTGCCTTGACGCGCTTCAGTTGCAACGCTACAGAGCACAGCAGGAGGAATCGTCGCTGAAGCACAATGACTTTCTTAGAATTGTGCTCTTGGTTAGTGCAGCAATGGCAGCATACGATAAAACCGCGAATTAATAATGACCTACCGCTAATTATTTTTGATTTAGTCGATTTACCCCGGTATTATTTTAATTAACAGAGAAAAGTAATCACAGCAAATGAAATGTTTGTCAACATAAATCAATGCAACTGCAAGAACTTCTGCATTATTAGAGGAGACTTCCCACGAAATATTTGCAAACCACTGAGAAATGGATATAATATCAATTTAAATGCTTGACTATAGCTAACTCTTACAAAGACTAAAAATACATAACGAAAATCCACCTATAAGTGAAGTTTCAATGATTATTATTCTACATTTGTTTAGCAATACTGGTTACATTTGTACACTTATCAAAATACACTGCGAAGCCTACGCTGTAACAATGGGCAGACTAGATTATATTTTGCTAGCCAATTGTCCACAAGTGTAATTAAACGCTTTACAAGCTATTATTTACTAGTATATCAGTGTAGCTTTCTGCAAAACGTCATATCCTAGAAAGTAATATGCAGAGTGATCATCAGGCTAAATATCAATACTACTGGCAAAGACAAATAATCCAAGTTTATGTTAGACATGTAGCTTTGAACGTCCCAAAATATTTCTAGAAGTGAACTCCATTTTACAAGTCGTCTGCTTTGAAGTTCACTTACTAGACATGTGCTAGTAAACGATGTGTAAGCCTATTTTTTGTAACGCTAATTTAAACCGGTTGATTTGCGTTTGACAGATAAATTCTCCCTCAGGAATTATCAGAATTTTAGACGGAAGGGATTGCAGTGCTGAAATCATACAAATTTTCGAGATGAGTAAGCACGCGGTATCTCGCTCATTCCGAGGTTCTTCAAACACGATGATTATTGTCCTCTCAATACCAAGTCCACAAGGGTCTTTATTCAGCGCGTCGTTTTCCTTCCGTAAGTTCCCGTATCCCATCGACTTATTCTATTTTTCCGATACAGGAATTTATTTCAATCTAACCTAGCGATTAATGGTACGTTTCCTTATTTTGTTGCCTATTCTATGGCGGCATAGCATCAGCAGTAATGAGAAGTTGGAGTTTTAAACAAAGCTAATCCGCAGTGCATTACAAGTGAATGGATAAACTGTTAAGTACAGTACGAAGCGTTCGACGTCATTCATTCCATGCAACGTTCGATACATGCTGAACAAAATATTCTTAAATGCACTAATAAATATCTTTTTTTTGAACTGCTAAGGAGAAATATTTTGACCTCCAGAACTTAAGATATATGAACAACCAAACGCATTGCCTACCGCCGGTTGTTCATTGCTCAAGGGACATTTTGCTTTCCAGTTCAAATCATTTAATGTGTACCAAGCCACCTACATATTTAGTGCAAAATAACATGGAAGTAAAAGAAGGACCGTGCCCAAACTGATTGCTGAACACTGCCTTGTGTTGTTACGGAAGGAAAACTAACTAGCATTAGTAGTTCTATTCTGAAGTGTTTGAACAGAACGGGACACTTGAATAAGACAAATGAATAATTCAAAGGAATTTACACATATTTATAAAATATTCCGATGTACTGGCCCAATTCTGATGTACCGTAACGGAAACCGGATTTTTGTCTATCATGTGATCTTGTTATGTGAACGCACGTATGTATGATTGCCAACATCATATGTGAAAAAGGTGCATTTCTATTAACCAAGTCAACGCCTTGTGCACCCAGAGGTATTGTCTCGTTTCTTTTCGACGTATTGCTGGATATTTTAGCAGAAACTATCAAGCATTGAGCTGAGGAAGTGTGACCATGAGCAACGACGCTGCACGGATTCCACCAGAGCCGGTCCCGTAAAACAAAGCTGCTATTTTGTTGCTTCGATTTGAATAAAGGGCCAATGCTGGTTAAAGGGTTTCCTCGGTTAGTTCGGAATTATAAACTACGATCGACTGCCTGAAACATTATTATAACTCACAAAAGCCTGAGTCACTTGAAAATTGCTCTTTCAGCGAAATGTAAGTATGTAATTCGTGGTAGGAGTCCGACACAAATAAATTTCAGTGCCGAGTGATACAGGACCAAATATTGCGTTCATGTTATACGTTTTATGTATACGGAACCATGCGACTGTTATTCTGGTAATTTTTTAATAAAAACCTGTTGATCATTGTATAAACAGAGCCTTTAAGGATAGGGCGAAGGTAGAACGCAACTTGCGGGTCTCGAAAGGTAGCTAGTCCAGAATTCGCTCTATTTTAATGTGGTTAAGTTTAGGACTTTAAGAGTAATCCATCAATGAACCCAAACGTATTTGCTGGGAAAAACGAGTAAAGTCCGATTTTATAAAATGGGACCCCACATCGATAATAATGAAAAATCATTTGTAATTGATGATCATAGCCGAAGCTTGATGTACAGATGAGCATTTTGCGTTGTCCTGAGAGCTGCGTGATTAGTTCCTATATGTTTCCAAGCCAGCAAGTCTTCATGGGAACGTATTGCAGAGCTTCCACTTAATATCGCGCTGTGCATGCAAGTCATTGCGAACATTAAACGAGAACAGTCTTCTAACATAAACATTCACGTTTTCCGACACCTCCAGATCCTCTCAGGTGATTGAAAACTTAATTTGATTCTGTCTATAATAAAATTCGCATCTGAAACTAATGGTTAAAACAAGCTTTTACAGCAAGCAAGCTACCACAATGTAAAGTGAATATGACTAATAATAGGTCCAGATATTTTAATTACGGACTATGTTTAAAAAGCTCGGATTATCCTTGCCCTGCGTCGATGTCTGCTGAGTAGTAGAGAAAAGCTAATCACACATGCCCATGAGGTGCGTGTTCCTAATTATTTTGGATTATTTTCCTCTATCTTTTCTCTATCCTCTTGCAGCTTTCCAATTTACACTCATCAGAACCGGATTTCTCAGTCCTACATTGTGATTCATCATACGTGGAAATATCTTCCACGATTATAGTCTGTGCGACCAGTAACCTTTTTTACTGCCATCCGTGATTAAGCGCAAGCGGATAACATAATCACATTGAACCGATTACTTTTCTGTGTGGCACCAATCAACACGGAATTTTCTAGGCAGCTCCAAAAGCCTAAGCTTATTCCGATCCGGCGTTTCTCAACACCTCTGTAAAAGAATTTGTAATCTAGAAACCTGCGTTCAGCGCTGTGGTCAGATTCAGTTAGCAGGTTCCAGTAGCAAGCCATTCCGTGTGACCTTATAAGCCATTGCACCTGCATAACCCCACACGAACCATGCGACCACGCCGACCGCTCATTTGACCTTGCAACCACCACGCCCCCCCTGACCGATGTGCGCCGCTCTCAAATCTGGAAAAGTACAGAATGCTAAACAACCCACAGGGTCAGGTAAGGACTCCAGGTTGAAAGGCAGAAATCCGAATGCGAAATGGCTCTGAGCGAAAGGCATTTGTCGGTTAGAAGGATGATAATGAGTAGTTAAACTCGGTCTGGCTTGCTTGCACTATTTGGAATGGTATCATTCAAAATGTGCAAAGGTGTCCCAACAACAGGCACGATAGCGAAATGGCTAAAAATATGCATGTTAGTTCTGTACTGCAAGCTTTACCATCCCACTAGTTAAGTGCTTGATTATCCCAGCTCAGAAGTGCGACCGGTTAACCGCAGAAGCCGAGCGGAGGATAAACTATAAAATTAATTGAACAGAAGCGAGTATTCACCATGGAAGCGTAGCGGCTTCTAACCAACGGAATGCTGCACAATCCGCTTCCCCTGAAATGCAAACAGACAAGTCCTACTCCGTTGTCTTGTCCAAGTTTGGTAGAACGTCAGGCAAAAATGGACCGTACCTACTAGCGTTAATCAGTAACCATTACAACAAAAATCAGGCACTAATCGAAACAACTGGTTGAGCAAATTCCACTACATCTGCCATCTAGCATTAACAGGGAAGAAGCAGCCGAACAAAAACCCTTTGGTACCTGTAACGCAAATGTCTCCTGTTGAGACAAAGCCCCCGAAACATCAGTTAAATATACAGGGCAGGCTGCAAAGCTCCACAGGGAGGACGCATTTAGGGCCTCTTTTGTTGTAAACACAGAATACGGATATAGACCTACCAACAGCAAACAATAAACCCTTGTCAGCAGGTCAGGACAAACGAGTACCATACCTCGTAGATCAATAGGGCCCGGACTGTTGTATACGCAAATGTCCTTGTATCTACCGTCCTCACATTGTGGGGTAAGTTATCGATTGAGCAAGACAATGGAGCTGCTTGTGCGTACTGATGAGCGTCAAATTTAAGCCCATAAAGATATTACATATTACTCGGCATTCGAACGCGCTACAATAAAAAGAACCCAGATTTTTCAAGTAACACTAGAATCCTCCGCGGAAGTAAAATACGTTTTGCTCTCCGCAACCGCGCTAAAACACGGATCCGTGGAGTACGGATCTATGCTGATGTTTCTTGGAGTGCGCGCATATCCAAAAAAAGTCCGAAGAAGGATAAGGCAAGCAAGACCACCTAAACACAAGCTTCATACTAGGGGTGTCCTGACATCTTTCTAAGGATGATCAAGGGACCGGAAAGCGCGATTTAGAACAGTGGCGGTTCATTCGTGGAACATTTGGTCGGATAATATTGTGGCACTGTGGCTCACCAGGACACCTCTTTCACCAAATTATAGAGGATACTGCCCTATAATCCTAACATTTTGCTTAAGTCAGACCAACAAGCAACGGATGTTTTAAATCGATGGAGGCAAATGCAAAAAGTCTTTCTGAACCTTGGTTAAAAGTCGCAGAAGCTTTGCACAACACAAATATTAAAGCATCCGAAGCAGTAAGCATACCAACGAATGTAAAGAAGCGTAAGTTGTCTGCTGCTTTAACTGATGGTGGTGTGGGTCTAAAAGAAGAGTGGGACGCACCTTGACCGGTTCAAGTTTCAGTCGAGGTAGCATTATCCCATCAAAAAGACGAGCAAATGCCGACCTCCCATCGGTCGGCATTCGCCCATACTTGGCCCCTTAACCGCTCTGTGGGCTCCTAAAGACCGAGAAACTGGTCTGCATCTATACAAATGCTTAGGGACTTTTTAATAAAGTTGCCGAACTGAATGATCGCCGAGATTTCGTACCTAATGACGTCGTTGGAATCACCGAGATGTGGTTGCACACGGAAAAGACAGACGCTAAATTTTCGCCACAGAGCATGTCGATGAGCCAGAAAGATAGACTCACAGAAAGTGACTTATACTGTGAATCCGTGGCGGATTCAGAGTCGTAGTTCCTTGACTATATTTGGTGCCGCCTGCATTTAAAAGGCAAGGACCCTAACCTTATAATCTTGGTTTACCGCCCTAACTCGAAAACGACTACCACCTAGCGGCTGCTTTGAGATGCAGTTTTCATCAAAAGTACGCTCACATACTTCTCATGGGTGATTTCAAAGTAAATTGTGTAGAAACTCTTGCAACGACCGGAGAACAATACAAAGCCGATTTACAAGATCACTTAACCACTGTTCCTCTTTAAAATCACATCACTTTGCCTACGAAATTTGTAGCAAGGATTTAATCCACTTAGAATTGTTGTTGGCCTAACAAGAACGGCTGTGGAAGCAGAAAACGCGCTGCAGATGAAATTTGCTCCCACGTTTCAGAGGGTCTTGCAACCAAGAGATCTTCTGACTTTTGCCGTTATTTGGCCAAAACTAACCCACACCACTTTTACCGTGGACACTGCATTGCAAAAGCTGAGGTTTCTAAGCAAACACAGCTCGCCGGGTGTCAACAAATTTCGTCAGGAGACAAACCAACAAGCAGATGGTTTAACGCAGCTTTTCTGCGCTGCGTACACAAGAATCAAGTTCCAGCTATGTGGCATTTTGAAATAAAAACCAATTCACAAAGGTGGCAGCAGAAATGATCCCTCAATCTACCGCGTAGTATTCCTTCTTGCCATATTCTCCAAGGTCATGGAATTCATACTTGCCGATGCACTGGTCTGCTACCTGGAAACCCGTAACAACATCCATCGACAGTGGTCATGCACAACAAATTTACTAATTGCACGCAGTAGTTGGACCTCGGCAGCTGACGCTGCAGAAGATGTTGATGCGATCTACCTGGATTTTCCCAGGGCTTTCGATGGTCTAGACCATCGGATACTAATCTTCATGCTCCAGCATTACGGGATCAGCGACCCTATTTTCAGCTGGATTGCCAACTTTCTACTTCTATGGCTATTATTAGTCAGAGTTAGGAACTGTTTACTGGACCACATACAAGTCGAGTGTGGTGTGCCGCATGGTTCAGTTCTAGGTCCACTTTTGTTTTTGGTATATATTAATGGCCTTTCACAGGGAACAGCTTCAAACCTCCTAATGTTTGCCTACGACATCCAGATCTGGCGCAGGATCCAGGCGAATGCCGACGAACATGTGCTTCAGATTGACCTAGATTCGGTGCATCGATGGGCAACCCAAAAGCTACTGCATTTCAACATCAGTCAATACAAGGGGCTATCCATCTGACATCAGAGTATCTACTCATACAGGCTCGGAACAAATATACTTCAACAACTATCTGTCTAACGTGACTTGTTGTCCTGGTTCAAGCTGACTTGGTTTGCCCCAGGCAATCCAAAAAGGCCTCAGAGACTGGAAATAAACACGTCGGACTTTTGCGACGGGCGTCTATACCAGTAAACAGCTCCATATTCCGACAAATACTTAGTACGCAGGTCCCCCTGCATGTGGAATATGCAATCAAAGTCTGGCTTAAAAGGCTTAATGCAAGGCCTTAATGCCTTCAGGAACCTATAAACGTAACTGTAATGAGCAATTTTTCATACAAGGAGAGGCTGAAACGATTGAGGTATTCAATGAAAGCTACCGCAGACTACTAGGCTACCTGGTTATGGTATAATTGATTCTGCGAGACCTACATTATGTGTGCATTCCGTTAATGTGACTTAACACCAATACAACCCCGAGGGGTCACTCACAGAAACTCACTGTACAGTATGGCTGCCGGAAATACCGCATAAATTTCTTTTCCATTCGTGTCTGTAACCTGTGGAATTCTCTCCCAGAATCGGTCGTCTATGCACCGAAACTAACAGTATATAAAAGACGGTTGGATGATACACTCATCCAGTTACACTTTGACACTTAGCACAATGTCTCCATTCTACACCTGGAGTTTCCTCTGGAATTATTAGCTGTGAACTGATGGTGCTTTAAATTTAGGCGGATTTTAGGACTACGGAGGAGCGAACGATAAGTCATTAATTTCATATTAAATTACCAACTCTTTTATTATCCTTACTACTGTTATCGTTATGTCGATATGACCACTAACTATCCAACGGAACTTGTAGAGCAAATCTGCTTAACCCGTGTACATTAGTTGTTCATTTTTATATTCTAATTTGATAATCATTCATTGGATAGTGAACGCTTCAAAACACATTTACCGTCATTCCCTGAAACTGCAGCACGCTGCCACCTTGACAATCCATTAGTTAAAGTTATCCACACGGTATATTCTGTCGGAATTATCATGGGATATGTCTTGTGCTATTGCAGGCCAGTTACGACACACACTTCCAGCTTTCGTTGGATCTTCCCTTATATTGTTTGTATTTTTAATTTTTCTCGATGAGACACTCAAGCATTTAGATTGTGTCCATGAAGGCTCTGCTGATGTAATCTGAAAAATAATTTACACATAAAAGCATATTATTATATACACCGACGTCGCCGATCTTCACAACAGGGAGGCTCTGTGCGTTCAGTATACAGGCAGAAACTTTATCAATGCACAGCAAAATTATTGTGTATCATAATTAGTCGTCTGGTTCACCGGCATATTGAAATTGGAGGGTGTACTATGGCTCAGCCAATGTTTCTTTTGCAACATATTATGTAATGCGAACCCATTTAATAACGTAGACTTTGCCCGTAGCTTTTCTGAACTAAAACGTTGCCTGCCCTTATGGAGAAGTTTTCGAAAGGCCAAGGTTTATATTATTTTACAAAAAATGAAGAATAACACCAGAGAGAGATCCTCGTCGTTATATATCATATAATTTCATGCGTCATACGTTGGGGTAAAAATAGACCGTGATATTGTCACCTCTCCTTGTTTTCCTTCTATTAATAATTAACAAGCTTTTAGCTGTAGCATCTAATAGGTTTTACTATTACAAAATTTATAGGAATGAGATATGGCCTTTTAGTTTGTCAGCGCAGCTTACAAATGTTGAAGACAAGCTGGATATATCACTATTCTAAACGAGTTCTTTTATTGAAAAAAAATATCTTTTAATCTGTTTCGCACTCCACCAGCCTAAGCCTAGTGGGGTACAGGTAATAGTTCAAGGCATCATAAATGGAACCATGGTTTATTGCTGGTAAAAAAGAATTTCTTAACAAGTCCCGTGGGATGTAAATTATTGCGAAAAGTGAAAAGCGTTTTGGTGGACTCACCATAGACTTATGTAGAATAGTGGAAGTGCTCGCGCTACGCAGTATCGAACTTCGCTGCCAAACAACGACCATCAAGTGCAAGCAGAATAACACGTCGTGCAGTTTTCTACGAAGGCTCGAATTCAAGAATTCAGGATTACGAGGCAGATCTTTGAACTTTAAATTCCCGGGATGTTCGTAGGTTACAGGTAGTCGCTTGTGATTAAAAATGCTTTAAGTGGCAGGTGAATTTGTTTGGCTGATTAGTTACTATCCGCTGCAGCCAAAATGAAGTTGTACGAACCTACTTGAATTGTGGCACAAAAGAGTAAACTTTACCTTTCAAATGGATTAGTGCATTTTACGGAATATACTAAGCAGTTTACTTTATGTTACACCAGATTCCACTAGAACACAAAATATTTACATCACGGACCAAACAAATATTAAAGCAGAGATCATGTGGAACAGTGTGGCTGAATAATCTGTTGGTGACACGGTTTCCTAATGCTTTTACAAAAATCCTTGAAACCAATAACAGTATTAGATAACTTTCGCTTCTTGCTTCTGATAACAACTATGGTGTACTCATAAATCTTGACATTTGATTAAGCAACTTTCCTCACAGCAATTTCACCAGCACATTTTTATAACCCACGCAGAAAAACAAAGCCATTGCCTACCATCGCATCCAAGAGAATCAGAAGGATGTATAGGACTTCGTAATTATGGACCTTACATGTTTTGCAGCACCACATTGTCCGCTCCTAACGCTCAAGCAATCCGTTTGGAGTTTGTGGATGTTGACGTGAGTGACGAAACTTATTATCTTTCTGTAGCCTCCAGTTAGATCTCAGTGACTAACGACACTTTATTTAGGTGTATATTTTTCAAAATAATCAGCTTTTGTGATAGATCGCTGCTGTTGGTTATGCACTCTATAGTTCATTGGGATTCATATAGCTTACACCAGTAATTTATTTATGTCATTATGACAAAGCTACCTTTTGCAATGTCGAACAAACAAAACTAGCCAGCTGTACTTCACAGTGTTACTCTGCAAGAACTATTCCATTAAATATCGAAGTAGACTCTGTACCAACTAGCCCTTGTTAAAGAAACCGGCACTGTTTCAAATTGAATTTGCAACAATTCATTAGAAAATATCTATTGCAGATGGATTAGCTAGATGTTAAGTTCCAGAAAAGCAATATAAATTTGTAGCAACTCGATGTTTAATTAAAAGTAACAGACTTTTGCGCACATGCATAAGCTGCTCGTCCTAATCAAACCCTGTTTTTTACATATCCTTTGCAATACTGTCAAGCTTGATTTTTGAACCGTTTTGCAGATTGCCCAAACTAATTAAATATTATTCAGTAGGCGGTAATAGATAGGGGCGATCTCATGTGGTAGATATGCGAACATATAAACAATACCCGCTTTAAACAAATGTCGACTGTTCCGTGACAACAAGAATAAACTTCAACGTTTCCACATATTGGTAAGCCGATTTTGTTACTTCGTGTTTGTACGAAAATACTGACAGATGCATTTTCAAAAATATCTGCGTTCATCATCATTATCATCATACACGTTAGCTAGAGGTGGGGAACGCCTCAGCTACTGTACCGCAATACACAGAAAAAAGAAAAATAATGACACTGGTGCAAGCTGGCTGAGCTACCGGTAACGGATGGGCATCGTTCCGGTAACCTACCAGCCGGCTACTCTGCATTAAAAAATTACTATGCAAAATTATTTAAGGCTAAATAATGAGATCGTGGTTGGAGGGGAGGCTAAGAGGGATGGGGTGGGAAAAAAACTCACAGCACGAACTCCACTGAGGTCGGCTCCTAGCCATATCAGCAAGTGTGTCCAACCAAACGTGTTCATCGTCTTTCGGACCCCAACCAGGGAGCCGAGGCAAGCTTCGAATTGAGAGCCTTCATTACTCTCGACCAAGTCATCGCTTGGCCAACCCTCCTTTTCTTCCAACCACATCCAAATCGCGCAAACAACGCACGTCGCGGGAGTCGGTGGGCTGGCATGTGTAACACGTGGCCGAGCCATCGGAGCCTGGTGCGTGAAATGACGGTGCTGGGCGGTTTATTTCCTTTTCCTGTGCCGTAAACAAGGCGTCGAACACGCTCGTTGCTCACGCGATGTTCCCACCAGATGTGAGCTAAACTACGAAGGCACAGGTGGTCGAATATAACTAACCTCTTCAGGTCTGATGCTTTAAGCGGCCAGGTGTCGAATATCTGTGTTGCAGTTGCACGAATCAATACACAACTCAAAGTCTCATTGAAAAGCTGTTATGAATATTTAAGTTATTTTTACCTGATTATTATTATGAAAGCTGCATGGCAATAGATTTATTTCAACATAAATAGTGTGCAAATTCTACGTTTTATATATGTGAAAGATTGATGTAGACGTTTCGTTGCTCTTTGGCTTATTCAGCTCACATGAAACCCGAGTCTTTTCTTTTTATAAACTAATGTGTAACTAAGATACAAGCATAGCACCTCTACTTGCGATCAAAATAGCATGTCTGTATTTCAAACTTGACGCTTAACGTCAGTTAGTATAAAGCATTACTTAAGGCAATTTAAACATCATGGTCAGAGCAACCAAACTATGATGATTTGATATAAGTAATCAGAAATAGAATGCTAATATTTGCTACAAGCTTGTGGAAAGCATGATTAAATTAAAGGATGCCATAACTCATCATGATGGTTTTTTATGCAAAGTTCGAAAACAAATTTAACTAGCGAAATCCGTTTGGTTCCTACTCTGTTGTAATTTTAGTTATCCGTCTGTATTCTATTGCATTTAAAGCAGTAAGTTAAAATGTGGGTTACATAGCTTACATTTATTACTTCGTTTTAATAGGCAAGTTGAAGTTTTCCAGTGTTTATTTTTATAGAAAAGGAAAGCGTTCATTTCTTCTGCATTCTTAACTATTGATCTAACATTATTTATTTTGTCTAAGCAATATCCATAGTGTTTGTTTTAAACTTATTGTGCATTTGACAAACGAACACAGTAGCGCTTTCTATTGCTTAACTTTGATGTTCAATAAACTCACGGTCATCCTTGTATGTTTAACTTCTTTTAACAAAAAAGCAATATTTATGTCAAATTTGCTTTGTAATAACAAAGTGGAACGGAGCAATAAGGAAACTTGTTAGCACAGGGACAGAAGAGCATGTAGGCCTTCTTGCTTCTTCCATCTGCGAAGTGACTTGACAGCATACTACCTAAGGAACAAGCCTTTCTTCCTACCTGTCTTTGCCTACTAAACGGGACGAGTCTTTTCCTTGGTGAAATGCCCAAGTTCAGTAATCAAAAGGTTTGCTGATTGCGTTCACCAAAGACTGGGTCTTGTCACTTTAATACTAAAGATCAAATTTTAATGTAGGAGAATCAGCGATGGTGAAATTCAAGTATTACAGATCACTAGTTAGCAAGCCAAGTAAAGCGTGCTATAAACCTTACATTGTCAGAGTAAATTCAGCCAAACGAAGAATCTTCAGTCTCTTAGATCATCAGTTGCTTATTCCTACGCTGAAGTCCTCATATTCTGCTTGCTCGTGTCGTTAACATGTTCCATAAACTAGTAAGGAGAAATCTCGTTGCAAATAAGTGAAATAATAAGCGAAACCAAATGATCTTACTGGAAAAGTGGTGTTTAACGTAGCTCCCAAAAGACTTTTTTACGCTTATGTGTAAAGCCAATTGGTGACCAGTACTTCCCAAACTAATAAAGACGAAGTGCCTTATAAACAATACCCAGGCAGATACGCATTCGCTAAACGCAAGTCATCTAAATTTGTCATTCATGTAATGAAATGGTTTAGTAATGGTGAGAAAACGGATATCTTAAAGGAGGCATTGGTTTTATTACTACAATAGTCTGGCTCACCAATATAAGAAAAATTAGTCTATGTTTATTATATCATACTTCGGACTGTTTGGCGCGCATAGCAGCAGCAACTTTCTTATGAGTGGAGGCAATGTTGTCTACCGTTCTGCTGTCACTGAGAAGACAAAAACGAGCTACACTGATCTGGTCCAATTCTGAGGTACATAATTTGGTACGCTATTTCCACAACCTTTGAATATCGGCAGAGTCGCGGTGGTGTCCTCCTTTGCGTCTGATCTTCATCTGTCGGGAGCAAGCCTGAACAGCTACCAAAGTGACTGTGATAGACAGAAACTAATTGGGCGTTTGACCTTAGGTTAGTGAGTTTCTAATATGTATATTTTATAGCAGAAATATTTACCAATTTTTGGCTGGCTAGCACATTTTGAGAGCGAACAAAACTAGACGCTATTATTTCCCTTACATGATTTAATCTGTGCTGAAAAATTCTGTTCTTGAATTCAACTTAAAAGCTGACATTGGAAAGTTAAAGCGCGCTTCGCAGAAATATAGGTAAACCAGGTAATCCAGTTCATCTGACAGTTAACGCGCATTCGGCAAGTGTAAGTTCATTGTAACTAACTTCTAGGAACCAGGTGCAATTAACAGGTGAAGCATAGTTCTGATCTTAGATGCCTTAACAAAAATGACCACATGGTACTGTTCGCGTCTACATAAATGTCCCTGTTTTAATCCAGTCTGCTACAGCCTACCTACTTCTGCCTGCAAACTGAATTATTTGGCCAAGTTTTGGGCGGAAAGAAGAAAACTTATACATAAATCTGACCGCTTTTTAAGGCAAGCCTTTAATTCTAAGCTGTGGTGAATATCAGTAATCACTGTGTTTGCGCGCAGCAACCATTTGAACGCAGGACTAGTTTGGCTACTTTATTTAAAAGCTGGCTGATACATATCGATTAGACTTTCCTAAGACTTCCTTCTTCTTTAAGCAGGTGATATATATAAATGCATAAGAAGCAACTGGTTGTGATAAGCTTTGATGTCGAAAATGTGAGCTTGCAGCCGCTGTTAAATCTCCTAACTACTTGACCACGACGAAAATAAAACCTCACCTGTGACTTGTGTGTGAATCGAACAAACACCGCTGCCCCCATTACTGATGGCAAGCCAATATTTTGAGGCGACTATCTGTTAGCATTTTGTTGCTGTCAAGCATGACCAGAAATTATAATCTTCCATTAAATTAAAAACAAAGAAATTCAAGAATAAGGATGAGTTTATCCGGACCATCTGGATACTTGATCAAGGCTCAAGTTACGCAAACGGAAATAAGAGATTACATGGACCATTTTCAGTGATATGCACAAATTCTTCAGGGTCTACGAGAAATTCCACAAAATTATGACAAATTCCCAACGCAAACCGCTTAAAATTTACAAGCGCCATCCGAGGTGCCGCAGTTTAAACTTCACAACAACTACCTAATACGCTACACATACATTTTGCTGATTTGTGATGAATTTCACCCATGAAGCCAGAGCTGCTCTGATCTATATATGTTTTCCGGAATGCGAATTACGGATTGAAAGACCACTGAAATAATCCGTAGGGAGGACTATCCTACTTACTGTTGTAGTCGAGTTTAAAGCATCTGATGAGTGTGACGCTACAAAAACTCCGAATTTAGATATTCAGAGGTGATTGCTAGAAAAGTATTAGTTCAACCGATCTTGGATATATAGAGCTACATGGGTAGAAATATGTAAGAACAAGGACGAGTAAATAATATTTAATTTGAGACGGATGTAAACAATGTTGTTAGCAAGTCATCATGAGCTTTGCAGATGAAAACTTCTGAGCTTCTGATCAATACAGGGTCCACCAAGCAAGCACACGATCTGAGACATTTAGCCAAATCTCGTCCAGAAAAGTCTTCAAATGTTAACGCTTAGTTA